ACGATGAGGGAACAGACCTTGGGGCCTCTCTGGATCTGTCTCTTATACACATCTAGATGTGTATAAGTCTCAACCATAGACCAGATACATGTAGGGGGAACGCCGGACCCCCCAAGAGCCAGAAATTCCGACCGGATTTTGGCAAAAAAAGTCAGTTTTGATTTCGTTCAAAAAATATAATATGTCCGTTTTGACGAAATGGCTATTGGTGTACCTTATACAATAATGGCGAGCGTCACTTTCATTCCAGTGTCAGCAGGGGCAGCGATGATAAGAATCGGGGGATCATTTCGATACGAATACGGGTCAATAGTGAAATATGAACTTCATGGACGCAAGCTGTTTGTAGTTGTCGTAAGGTTTAGAAGTATCAATGTATATAATGTGCGCATTTATGAAAGACAAGGACAAATGAAACGAGGGTAGGATTATGCAAAATGTCATGGAACGGTTTTGCAAGTCAACGAAGAAAAACGAACAACGTTGCAGCGAGAGGGCAGAAATCTTGAAGGATGGTTTGCTTTCACAACTGAGTTAAAAAACATACATGCTTCATCTATCTCGGGGTGCATGTTAGAGGGCGCACGCGATGTGAGCATATAGATTATCATCATGAATACAATCAATAGGATCAATGGGTAATGGTAGAGCAGGGCAACGTGAGAGTATGAACAAGGATATACAAAGAAGGATGATAATATGTTAAGTGGTAGACGAGGACCGATGTTGAGGCAGTGTTGACAGACATGGCGAGTTGTATAACAATGTGGATCAGTTTTGGGTTTTGTACTTATATGGGGTGAATTTATTGTAACAGACTTGTAAAAATATAGCATGATTCACTATTTCGTATGAAAAACAAGAGGGGAAAAAAAAAAAGGGTATGAATTTACATGTATGAAAGGGGTCGACATTAAACGCATGCAACTATTTGGTGTTTTTTTTCGGTATTTTTGCACGACAAGGAAAAAAAGAATAAAATTAGATTGGGATACTTTTTCGCATTGGGCATCAAATTAAATGCGCAAAATGATGTTCTTTTGACAATATATTACCAAAATTTGCTATGAATCAAAAGGAAAATAAAACCATGGTACTTTTTGACGCCTTGTCCTACAAATTTTGACAATACAGTAGAGGAATTTGTTAAATAAATTGACAAAAAAATAAAAGTTCATCAGATTTGAACGTGCGTGCACTTGAAAAATTAAAGACCCTCGCAAAAACATAGTTTCCAAGCGAATGTCGAACCAGTTTCACCTGCGTAGCACGACGAACGTGTTCGCGCCTTCGCGTGTTCGCGCCTTCGCATGTTCGCGCAAACATTTTTTTTCTTCGTAAACATATATATATATATATATATATATACAGGGTCACCAGCCCGTTCGTACGGAGGTCCCTGGGCAGACCTCCGTACGTACGGGCGTTCGGGGTCCAGTACGGGGTCCGAACCCGACGGCGTTCGGCCCCCGCCAAAAATTATTTCGGGGCCCAACAATAATTATGTTTTTCTGAAGTTTTTTTGGTGAGTTCTTTCTGACGTGAGGTACACGCGTGTAAACTTCCAAGTCATTTGGCCAATCCAAATAAGAATTAAAAATCGCCAAAGATGGCCGTGTCAAAACGTGCTCGCCCATGTATTTTTTCACTTTTTACTTTTTGTTTTCACTTTATTTCGGGGTGTAAAAAATTTTATTATTTTTCGAAACATTTTAAGTGGGTTTTGTATTATGTGAAGTACACATCTGTAAATTTTCAGGGCATTTAGCTATGCCAAAAAAAAATGAAAAATCGCCAAAGATGGCGGTGTCGAAAACATCCCCTCGCACTCACTAAATTTAATTCTCTTTTTATTTTTATTTATTTTTATTTATTTTTATTATTAGTATTTGTTTTCGGTATTTCATTTTTATTTCAAATTTGGAAAGGAATTCGGATGTAATGCTCAGGCAAATCTTGTTTAATTTATTTTTCTCCATGACATATTTTTTTTTCCGATTTTTTTGATGACTTTAGCTTTTTTTTTTTTTTTTTTTTGGGTCCGCGTTTGGCCCGAATGGCCGAACACATCCCCAAGGTGTCCCATACGTTCAGGCGTTTGGGCGTTCGGCCCGTCCCGAACGCCGGTTACCTGTACCGGCGTTCGGGACGGGCCGAACGCCCGAACCTGAACGCCCGAACCCGAACGCCCGAACCCGAACGCCCGAACGTATGGGACCCCTTGGGGATGCGTTCGGCCGTTCGGGCCGAACGCGGACCCAAAA